AAACTGCACAGAAAGACCCCAGGTCCAAATTGGAGATCAAACCCAGGACCTTCTTGCTGCGAGGCATCAGTGCTGACCACTGAGCCATGGTGCTGCTAGATTGTCTGATTATATTTCTCAAACAGCAGACATAACTCTGGTTATATTTGCTTGTGGTTCAGTGATGTCACCTCTCTGCCTTCAGCAGACATGTTGGTGTGTGTGAAGGAGCCACTGGCTGAACAATAGAGACATTTTGCAGATTCAGCTGCTTGTTTCAGCTGGTGGATGTAGAAATGTTTTTTTCTGAGCTTTTAGCCAAGAGTTCTGTCTCTGATTGACAGACTTTGAGTTAGTGGTCACCAGTTAGCTAATTTTCTTATCTGTTTGGTGGTTAAACATTTGCAAAGCTAATATTTTAGTTAGCAGATTGACTGTTAGTGAAGCTAACTTTTAGGYTAGCTGTGCCCATCATTRACCACCTAACATTAAATAATAAAGTAAATTAAAATGTTATGTGTGAGATCTTTGTTGTGTATGGCAAAAATGYCAGTGTTAATTTAACAACCACAGTGTTAATTTTAACACCAACAAAGTGTCTATATGTGTCCACACTCGCTGGTGTTAAAATAACATTTGTGAAAGTGTTAAATTTTAACACTCATTTCTTTGTTAATCTAATACCAACCAGTGTTTATTATTCAACAATTCTTGGTGTCACATTAACATAAAAATAGTGTTAGTGTTAAAATATAGTGTTAACAGTAACACAAGCCAGTGTTAAATATCCAACAATACTAGGTGTCATTAACATTTCAACAGTGTTAAAGTAAAGTGTTATTAATAACACCAGTATATTATTATTATTTTTATTAACAAAGGAAATTGTGGTGTTTGTAAGATTAACAGACACCATAAGGTTTTAACACACCATCAAATTGAGAGTGTAAATTTAACACTCAGAGTTAATATCAACTCTCAGTAGTTAGCAGAAAAGTATAATGGAGTCATCCTTCACACACCAGGAAGTACCTCTCACTCAGGGTGTTGAATTTTGGCCAAAAAACATAAACTTAAAGTTGAACAACTTGATCAAACTGAACAAGAAAACTAACCAGAACAACTCATTTTTACTCATGAACGTCTTTAATAGTCATAAACATGCAAACACATCGTTTCTGCAAGATTTCTCAGCAAGGAATGCTGGGTAAATACTGGACTGTCTGACATGAGGTGGAAGAGGGCGGGGCTTTTCAGAATGCTTCTTTCAACACTGCATGGTGTCAAATAACAACACTGTTAAGTGTTATATAAAACTTAACTGTGGGCGGAGCTTATTTAACACTGTCCAGTGTTGAGACAACACTRAGGAAATCAACACTGTGAGTTAACAGTAACACCAGGTGTGAGTGTACTCAGAAAGTGTTAAAATAACACTAGGGAGTGTTAAATYAACACCCAAAAGTTTAACACTGAAATTTTAACACTCCTGTCTTTGCTGTGTGGGAGTCCACAAACCATCACCCCTCCACCATGTGCTTATCAGTGACAACATGCTGTGTTTTTTATTAACATGACATGTCATTGTTTTCAAAAGAAACAAGCAAAATGTTTCGATATTCACTAGAGYGACCAGGGATCAAACACCAAGAACATGAAGTTTTCTTTATTACCTGCACAACAAAAGCACATTGAGTTTAGTTATATAATAAGTTTGAGATTTAAAAAAAAAAACGCTGTCTCTCAGTACGTTTTAGGGCGTTTCCATCCGAACACGAATCAATCATTATTCATTTATGCCGCTTTCTTTCTCTTCACAGATCTGAAAAGCCTGTTTTTCTGCTGCCAATCTCACTAATGTGTTTGTTACCCTGAAACCAAACTGATTTAAACAGTCCTGATGCTCCTCTGAACACGACTCTCAGATGTTCCCGCAGCCTAAGGATGGCCCGCTTCCCTTAAATTCACAACTCCTTTGTGGTTCCACAGCAACAGATTTGAAATGCAAATCCAACCCGAGGAATCCTCTCAAGACCTTTTACTTGCTCGACTAATGAAGAAATAATTGAAAGGAAAGGAGATGGGTTTGAATTCGAGCACCTGAAAAGATGATTCTGTGCATTAAAAAGCAAACATTTAGTAATGATTCTGGACACAGATATCCTCAAATGAAAGATAAACATCTAAATCTTTGCTGATTTCTGATACGTCTCAGCTACTGATGAAATGATTCGACACAAAACTTCGTCCAGATTGGAAAGAAACAGTCGTTTGCATGCATTAAGTTCCACACCCCGTGGTGTTTTTATTATTAATGGGATTTTCTGTAACGTAATAAAATAAAATCTAATTCTTGTTCTTTAATATATTAAACACAGCAGGCACCGTGTCGTTCCTCCTCCGACAGAAACGAGAAACATTTTTTTAATTAGCTCAAAATTTGGAAGATAAAAGTTACTCAGGGGGGAAATTGATAAAGATAATGAGAATTTTTTTAATATGAATTATTTTTGACTCTACAGGGA